CCCACACACACACACACATACACGCCCACCCCATGTTTTCGGGCATTGGTGATCACAGCCAGATTCTGTATACGGCAATTGTGGTAAATCTTGATGGTGGGCGCTGGGGGTCACCCGTGCGGTGACAGATTTTAATGACGCCCTTGCAAAAATGGGCTATGTGAGTGGATGGCACGAAACATGAAGCCTCATAAAACTGGCACAAGTGGCCACTGGATATTTAAAGTCTGACAAGCGCTACTGTAAGACGTAATGTCAACTCAACTTATACCCCAGCGGTGACCCCTTATCTGACCACTAGGTCAAACATGTTTGAAATTGGGGTGTAAGGGTCAGTAGGGTAGGAGAAGGAGGTGGGGGGGGGGGCGAACTTTACTTTAATTAACTTATCTTCTTATACCCCCCAGGGCGACGATAGTCCAGGACCTGTCAACGTTCTGGGTAGACGTGGAATCTTCCCCGTTGGTGGACTTACAGGCCACGGACACGCCAACGTGTGTCACAGGCCACGCCCACAGCGACGGGTATCAGTTCGACCACAACAAAGTCAGTTATGAAGCAAGTAAATCTCCAGCTGGATCAAGCCAGGGAGACAATAGTGCGGCAGTTTCTGGACAAGCTATTGATTTATACATTACTTTGAAGAGTGTGCTCCTTTTCTCGATGGTCTTTCTTGAAATTCGTTGAATCAATTAATTTGACCGTAAGTTTGTCTTCATGAAACCACAAAGTCACCATCAGGAATCATGAAGGAAGCAACAGTAAGAGACACCTGGACACGCTATTGATTTATATATTACTTTGGACAGTGTGCTTCTTGTCTTGGTGGCTTTTCTAGAAATTCGTTGAATCTAACCGTTTGTCACGAGATAAGGCAGCAAGTTACCATAAGGAACAGACGAAAGAGACAACTGTAGGGTAACATCTGAGCATTCTACGGATGTATACATTCCTCGAAGAAAGTGTGCTTCTTTTATCGATGTTATTTTTCTTTCATTTCACGAAAACTAGTTCTTGTTTTAGTTAAAGAATGTGCCGCGCGCTCATATGACCTTAGCAGTTGCGAGCGCCGTAAAACCCTATACTACATACATACACATACATACAAAGAATGTGTAGGAAGTGAATAACTCATGATCGTATAGACCTATATAATTATGTAGCCTTCTTATTCACGATAACAACGAAGTCTGGTAATGTGTTATATATCTTTATTTATATAACCAGCAAAATTTTCAACTGCATGCATTTAGGTTCATCTTGAATGGCATTTTAATTAGGCTTTGCTATAAGAATATCTCAATTATGGCTCTGGATAATTTATGTGCCTGGTGTATTTGTAAAAACCACAATAAATTATACAAATCATGCAAGTAACGCCTTATGTTCAAGCTTCTGTTAATGTTTTTATTTCGTAGGTAGCCTAAACGCAACGGTGTAAATTATTATCATTTCTTCGCTGTCATGAGTTATTTGGTTGCCTCTTTCAGTTTAAATGCACCATATCAAAGCGATGCTTGGATACAGCTGAGTTGGATTCGTTATACTGTATATTGTTCCAAAATGTTTGTGTAGTTTTGGTGGCTAAAGCAGACATTAGACGATCTTTTAAAATGTTAAAAAACAAAGAAACTCTCGTTCTCGCGGTCAATGTTTCTGTCTGTCTGTGTGTCTGTCATTTAATCTCTCTCTCTCTCTCTCTCTCTCTCTCTCTCTCTCTCTCTTTCTCTCTCTCTCTCTCTTTCTTTCTTTCTTTCTCTCTTTTTTTCTTTCTTTCTCTCTTTTTTTCTTTCTCCCCCCCGTCTCTTAAATTTCTCTCTCTCCGTCTCCCTCCCCTACCTTCCCTCCCCCCCTCTGTCTCTCTCTCTCTCACTCTCTGTCTCTCACGCTCTCTCTCTCTCACTCTCTCTCTCTCTCGATGCAACCTAAGCGCGCGCTCACGGACACACACACACACATACACACATATATAAACATTTATATATATATATACACATACACACACACAAACACACACACAAACACACTCACACACACACACCCACACACACACAAACACACAACACACAAATACGCTCATACTAACAACATCAAACAACTGATTACACAAAATGAAATAAAAGTAGGAGACAGGAAGAATCTACGCAGTAGTATGATTTTATTTTTAGCTCCTAGTTGAAATGTTGTGTTTTCTCACACACACTTGTCATCACAAATATATGAGTTAGAAGCAGAACGAATGAAAAGTAATAAGGACTCAGTAACATAATTATTAAAGCTGTATCGACGATAGCTGTTAGAAAATCCCTCACCCCCCCCCCCCCCC